TTTTCTACTATACACCAAATTACCTAACAAAAACAAATCTATAATATGAATCTGTTTTGAGAACAAAGATATTCTGTATTTATTATTACTGCTTTTGGGAAATACACTGACTTTTAAAAATACTTTTAAATCACTCATAGAAACTTGTAATAACATTTGAGCAATATCTGAAAATTCCTGACTTACTGAGTCTATACATAGCTACTTTTTAAATACAACATTTACTTTATTAAAAAAATGAAGAGAAAAACTGTTTATCCTATTATCCAGTGGAGCAGAATTATGAGAAGAGAGATAGTTAAGAATAATACTTCAATGCTGGCTTCTAAGCTATGTTTTATATTACTTAAATTTTCAGTTCTCATCATTCTGCTACAATATAACTAAGCCTGTTTATAATAATAACAATAACCAATGTTAGTCTTTGAAAATCATGATTGCAATTAAAAGCTTGGAAAAGCATGATAAAACTAATGGCAACCCCTTGAATCCCATTTTATGTTAGTTCTACTTCCAAATAACACTTTAAAATGGTTTCAAATAACCTTACTGATTAGCCAGCATCAGCTCAGGAATTTTTTTGCAATGTTCTAAGATACAACTTTTGGCATCAAATAGTAAGCACTTTTGATTTGTGATGAATAAAAAAAATCAAGTACTAAAATACCAGTGGTTCCTGTGACAGGGTAAAATATCCCCTTTCAAGTAATGGTCTCCCCCAAATTAACATGTTATTTCTCCCTCTGAGAGTTTATTAAGGAAAAGGAATCATGATTTTTTTTAATTGAGGTGAAAAAACTGCTTCATGAGTTCATAAGTTGTAAAAGCCACTGCTTGAGAAGGAACGCAGCGAATGTAATTAAGAGATAAACCACGATATAATCCTTTTCGAATTCCATGGTGTCCATAGACATACTTCAAAGTCTCCCTCATGGTACTGAAAGAGAATAGTTAAATAATGACACCTTTATGCCTCCTCATGAACAGACAATTTCAGGATCCATAATAGCATTTTTTTTTTTTAGTTCATAATAGCATTTTTAAGAGAAGCTAAAATGCCATCTCGAATAGCTTTTGGAAGGTAGGTGTTAAAACAAGCTAAAAATTCACAATAAAACAGCAACTAATTCCAAACAAGTACAAGTGTTATGCATAGAATTTCAGGGCTCATTAATACAATATATTTTGTTTGTACTGTGTCTGTGACATTTACTAGCGACATTATTTCATAATAATATTTGAAATATTGATAAAGTCTTTTTAAAGGATGTATGAGCAGTTGCCCTTTAAGCTTCCATTTCTGCTCAAGTTCTCTGCTATAACTAGCAGATGGCTGAACTAAAGCTTGAGGAACTATCTTTCAGATTTCAGCAATAAAGTCTTTCTTGTTTCAGTGTTCTTTCCTTTCAGACCAACATTTTGGGCTTTGCCTTTCCCTTTCAATAGGCAATCTTGACTGAAATCTTTAAAAAAAATCTTCTGAGTGAACAAAGGCAATTCAAGATCCTGAACAAATATTCTGCTCTTCCCCTGAGAGACAGTACATCACCAATCAAACAGAATGATTCTAAATCTCTACGGAGTATAGAGAACTCTAGGGCTGTGCTATGCAATTACAGTAGCCAACAGCGGTATGTGTGTACTGAGAGCTTGAAATGTGGCCAAGTCCACAACTGAGATGTGCTATGAGGGAAAAATACACCCTGGATTCCAAACACTTAGTATGCAAAAAAAAAAGGGGGGGGGGATGCAAAATACTGAAATGCTGAAGTGATAATATTTTAGACATATTAATAAAATATTTTAAAACAATTTCATCTGTGTCTTTTTATCCTTTCTTTAATGTGGCTACCAGAAAACTTTTAACTACATATGTGATTCGCATTATATTTCTATTTAACAGAGGTGCTGTAAAGTGAAATTTTTAATAGGAAGGTTGGGACCTGATTAAATTCTCATAAAGTTACCAAAGTATATACTATGGGAGATAAAATGAAAGATCTAGACTAGTAGAGAGATCACAGTCCTATACCCCTAACTACTTTAAAAATTTCATTTCCTAAAGAAAATGAACAATGACAAATGAAGAACTTACAGGCACTTTTCAAATTCGGGAAGAACAGTTCCTAATTGCATTCGCCGACGAGTTACATCAAATGGGTAGCTAAAGGCAGAAAAAGGCAGAAGGACTGAAAAATGATTTGTAGGTTTCTACTAAGCCAATTATTGAATACAAAGTCCTCTGTATGATAGGAAATAACGTGCTCTTATTCTGTTATTGTTTTGTCTTCTCTGGGAATCAGGACATAGGCACATGAATAAAATCAAGTAACAATAGAGAGGTCTCCTTGCCTTTGCCTAAGTGGCTCCCTTGGATGAGATAATTCTTCTCTCTCATCATCCAATATCAAGTTCTGTTTATTCTCCAAAGCCAAATTAAATGCCACTTCCTGAAGAAATAAACTGGGTGCTTTTCATTGTTGTAACCCTAAGAAAGGGTTTCTTAAGTTTGGCACTATTGCCATTTTGAGTGGGATAGTTCTTAGTTGTGGGGGCTGTCCTGTGCATTGCAGGATGTTCAGGTGCATCCTGGCCTCTACTCACTAGATGCTGGTTGCACAACCCGAGACGTAACAACCAGACATTAATAAATGTCCACTAGAGGCAAAATCACCCCTAGTTGAAAACCACTACCCTAAAAGTGTTCAGCAAGTGTCCCTGTAGACAGCAGATCAACAAAATAATTCTCCCTAAGGGCTAAAATGAACAATATAGAAAATTGCATTTAAAGGCCAGAGAAAACGCTATGTAAAAAGATTGCCTGATTCTGAAACCAAGCATGGTGACAGATGTTAACCTGACTTACTGTCATGATCATTTTGCCATATATATATAAATATCAAATCGTTATGCTATACACCGAACATAATATAATGTTGTATGTCAATTATGCCTCAATTAAAAAATTTTTTAAAGATTGCCTGAAAAGAAATATACAAAAGTAATCATTATTTGGAGTAGGATCCAAGATGATTTTTTAAATTACTTTTATTTTGCTATAATTGACTATTTATGCTAGGTCCTAGGCCAAATAACTCATGTACATTATCTCATTCCATCTTCACAACAATTGCATAAAGTAGGTAGTTATCCCAACATTAAGATAATAAAACTAGGTCTTAGAGACATTCTCCAGCATCACAAAGCTACTTTCCTAGTCAAAGCTCTCATATGTATACATATATATGTAAAAATATACATAATATATACAAAAGTGATATATGACAAAAATATATACTTTTATATACACTTAAATTTACTATGAAATAGTTATAATAAAAAACACCCATGTACCAACCAAACAGTTTAAGAAATAATATTACCAATGGATGAAGCTCCCTTTGCATTTTAATAGCATCTCCATGAATAATTTTTTAATGGCAGGTGGGGTGAAGAAAAAAATTTGTGGGGAATAAAGAGACCAAAAGCTCAACCTGAAGGATTCAGTTTCCAAACAGGAAAAGATGTATGTAGGTAAAAGGAATTGATTAATAGACAGAAAGTAAGAAGAAAAAGTACAAGGATCAGAACTAGGGAAATAACAATGGGAAAGAAAGAAAATAGCATTCTAGACAATGTTCTAATGTAAAAAGTGACAAGACAGTAACTTTTCTGGATATGTACAATGTGAAAAATGATTTCAAGTTATTAGAAGGACTAGAAGATTAATAGTTATCAGTAACAAGTAGGAAAGTTGAGAGCTGAAGATTCTCATGAAGAAGACGACAAGAAAGTAATACACGAATTATGGAGTTTGCACAGAGGACAGAAGTCCAACTAGAAACATTCAAGATCTTGCTAGAGAAGTAATGGAGATTTAAATAGAACTGGTTATCTGTACAGAGGTGACCACTGAAACCATAAAGATAGATGAGCTATTTCAGGTATTTATGAGAAGAGCAGAGGACTAAAGTCTGGCTGGGCCTTAAAAAAATCAGCACAGACATGTAGGAAGAGGAAGTCATGAATCAGCAAGAAACCAAAAAAGGGAAGGCAGGGAGAATGATCACAAAAAGAGGGCACCGTTACAAAAATCTAGAAACTAGAACAATTAAAAGCAGGTTAGACCAGAAAGGAGCGACTGGATCTGTTAAGACTCAATGGGTGCAGAATACAGCTTAAGATGAGAAGTGGAAAAGAGAAGACATTTTATGGTTCTAAGTTGGAAGTAAATGATAAAGAATAAGGGGCAGTAAAACCAAGAAGAGACTGAGAATCGCTAAAGGTAATCATGTCTCTGCCAACGAATAAGGTTCCACAGCCATGTTTCCAAAACTAAACCACACACCTTTTCTTCTTTTACCTTCAATCTAGTATGATCCACTCCCACCCACAATGATCCTGAATCTGCTTTCTCAAAAGTAATCCTTAATTGTAAAACCCAATGAACACCTTACTTTTCAGTACTTATCTTACTTTAACTTCTTCCACTGGATACTCTTTTTTTGAGCTTTTGTGACACTACTGTTTCCTGTTGTCTCCCTGCTGTTCAGGATACCCCTCAGTCAAAGAAAGCTTTTCTTCTTCCTGTTCCTGAAAAGTTCCTGCTTCTTGGTATTCTAGCATCTTTTTATCTCATCTACTCAGTCTCTCTTGGTCTAGGGAAATCCTTTGAAGCCACTTTTCCAATTATAATATAGTAATACCTTTATCTATGTCCCCAATACAATTTATATTAATATAAAATCCTCTTGAATTGCTACCATCTTAATAAGAGTATAGGCTTCTCAAGGCAATAATTTTGTTTTCCCTTCAGTAAAACTCCCAATGCCTAGCATATTGTCTGGCACAAAGTAGGCTTTCAAGATTTAATGCAAGAGAAGTTGTGCCAACACACACACACACACACACACACACACACACACACACAAGATAAATGGATCAAATTTCAGAACTTCACATGGGCAAATTCATGAGAAAATATGAATGAAGACTGTACTTAGTATTTCTTTCTAGCTTTCTTTTCCCTTTCTTTTAAAAGGCACAGAAATTGAATGGGTTCAAACTAATCTGGTCAATTTGGCATGCAGTTATTTATAATATGCTTAAAGTGCAGGCACATCTGAAAAAACTGTATTAAATTAATACTAATATTTTATAAGGGATCCTATGTTTTCATAATCTATTAGAAAAAATAAAATGATTAACCAATGTGGAAAATCAGGATTGAGTAAATGTAATTTGACTGAATTAAGTTGATGAAGAAACTTACGATATTGTCTGTGCTATTGCTCCAGCAACACCACCACAAATTAAGTTTATGTGAGTTTTCAAAACTAAGACATTAGGATTGTCTGATGAAGGTCTGCCAAGAAGGGTAGGAGCATGAGAAAGCCCAACACTCTTTAAGGTACCAAAAGTAAAAAATGAAACACCTGAAAAACAAAATATAAATTCACCACGATGCTTAACAGAACATGAGCTGTGAAAAGGCACCATTCTTACACAATAACCAATTAACTCAAGGAACTAACTACGCATTTCCTGATTTCTGGTGTTTGGCTTAATCTAAGATAAAAAGGTTTTATTAATGTTTATAAATAACCTAAAAATAACAAAATTACCACCTATAAAAATTACAACATTGGTTTTCACACACTAATATCCAGTTCAGTTCACTGAATAAAGGCAGTAGTTGAGTATAACGCCACCTCACAAATGAATAGAATTAAACAGTTTTCCAAGGTTACACATAAGAATTAAATTTGTGATTAATAATTTTAAGTAAATGTGACAACTTATATTTACAGTAACAATGACAGTAATAATGCAAGATAGAGGCAACAAATTCAGAAGTGATAAAGCATTGTTATTTCAACTCATAATGTCTAATTTTGTCTTCAAGGAAGAGTATGACCATCAGAGGCTCATAAGATATACGGAATCTAATGAATATTGAATTAAGTTATTGATAATGTACATTTGGTGCTTGCTGAATATTCACATGATTTTATAATAGAGCCATTAAAGTCATATATTAATAAAACCAAAAATAGAATTCAAGCATTCCAAGCAACTAAGCATTACTCAAGATATCTTGATATCTAACAAATTTTTTAAAATATTTAAAAAGATACTTGATGCTTAAGAACAAATCAGCACTAACAAAAATTCAGTCAAGGATAATACCTCAACATATGCATTTATTCTTTATATAAAATTCTTATAATCTTACAGTATTTTGTAATGATGATCTGTAACTTTAGAATATTCATACACTTTTATATTTGGGAAATCCTAAGTATCCTAAAGACTTAATATTAAATACAGAAAATCCACACAATAAGGAAATTCATAGCAAATTAAACGTAAGTAGGGAAAAATGGAAATACCAAAATAATGCAGAATGGTATTCAATTAAAAATAACACAATTAATTAAAATGTCTGTAAAGAGTATTCAGAAATATAAAAAATATTTGGGAAATGGGGAAAAATTAAGAAACAAAATTAAACATATACTGTATGTAAAAAATGTATTTCACAACTGAAAACTAAAAACAAAAGAATTAGAAAGATTAGAATACACAGCAAAAAACTAGAGTTCTGCTTCCAGCATAACGGCAGTCTAGGTATTCTGAGAGACTTTGTCATTGCAGAATAACTATATCCATTGCTGGGCTTACAAAAAGGAAGAGAATGTCTCCAAAAATCCCCAGCACTACTACTTTCCAAAAATATAATCTGGGACCCACTTGGGAGTTGCAGCCCATGAGAGAGGTGGAATGACTCCACATTTTGATACCAAGAGGAGCAGAGTCAATGAGATGAATCCTGCCATTGGGCCTACAGAAGATGGAATCACTGGGTCAGAAACTCAGAAATTAAGATCAAGTAATGAGCTCATGAAATGACCACCAAAAAAAAAAAAAAGAAAAAAGAAAAAAAAGAAAAAAACTAAATAAGTAAAGACCACCAAGTATAGGAGGAGGCAAATAAATTTACATATTCATAAAAGATTGGGGGATAAGGATTGAGAAAAAAAAGCAAACAAGATAAGAAAGGAATAAAAAGAAACATAAAAAGAAAAGCAACAAGTGGTAATCAATAGCAAGTCCAAATATATTAATAATCACAATAACCATTAGATAACTGGCAATTAAAAGATCTTACTAACTGGATTGAAAAAATACCCAGCTATATGATGATTATAAAATAAATACCTAAGACATAAAAACATGAAAAAGTAGAAAATAAAAAGATGAAAAAAGATGTCCCAGGCAAATATTAACTTGGATCTGAACAAAAACTAATTATGAATTAGGGGTGGGGGGTATTTGAACAATGACAATATACTAGATGATATTAAGACAGTTCCATAATGGTATGCAATTATGCTTTAAAAAAAAGCATAGAGAGCTGAATACTGAAATACTGTGGATGAAATAATGAAGTATTTTTACTTTAAAATAATTTGGAATAAAGGGTAGAGGGAGTAATTAGGGGAATAGATGAAACAAAATGTCATGAGTTGATCACTATGAAGCTAGGTGATATGTACATGGTGGTTCATTTTACTATTGCCACCTTTCAAATATGTTTGAAAATATCCGAATTTTAAGTAAAAACAAATAAATAAAATAACAAACTCAAGGGATGCAGCTAAAGCTGTATTTAGGAGAAAACACTTAAATTCCAGGAAAAAAAATCCAAAAGTTAAAAATTAATGATGTAAACATCCAACTGAAGAATAAACCCAGAAAGGAGACAATTAAGACATGAAGAAAAAAATCTATGAAATAGAATATTAAAGGCAGATTAGAGAAAGAAAGCCAAAATTGATTCTTTATAAAATCTGATAACTTATAAAACAAATAAAATAAAAAAGAACATGACGATAGACATAGCAGGTGTGAAAAAATACAAAGAAATAAGGAAAACCTTCCGCCAAGAACACTGAAAACTAACACAAAACAGTCAAATTCAAAATGGTAAAGAAAGGTATGAATTACCAAAAATAACTCACAGAGATAGAAAATCTGAATGGTCATACAACCATTCAGGAAATTAAAGCAGTATTTAAAAATCATCTCACAATGAAAACATTCAAGAAACAGATAACTCTAATCATTTTATACAGATTCTTCTTAAGAATGGAAATGAAGAGATACTCTTCAACTCATTCTATGAGACCTATGTAACCTTGATACCCAAACCATATGAGAACACTACAAAAGAATATTACAAGCTAATCTCATTTATGAATATAGATGTCAAACTTCTAAAAACAACTAGTAAATTGAATCCCATAAGCAATTTGGGTTGACATTAGAACATCTAGTAGGATCATTCATCAAATTAACTGATTAAATGAGAAAACTAAATGATCACCTCAGTGAAAGTAGAAATGGGTGTCTGATAAAATTCAACACCAATTCAGATAAAAATTTTTAACAAAATTCCTCAACCTGATAAATGGTATATACTACAGTAAATATTATACTAAATAAATATTAGAAACATTCCCTTTAAAATCAATAACGAGCCAAAATGCCCAGGGTCATCACTTTATTCACTGTTGCACTATAGATCCTTAACTAGTACAGTAAGGAAAACATAAATAGACAGAGAAATAAGGATTCGAACAAAAGTAAGAAAAATGATGTTATTTGCACAGGATGTGATTGTCCACACACAAAACCCAAAGCATCTACAAGTAACGTGGTAGCTGGCCATAATATCAACAGGTAGAATAACACCTAGTTATAAAATCACATAAAATTAAATCAAACAATAAACTAAAAATGTAATTTCTAAAAAACACAATAAAGTTTATAACATGCCTATGAATCTATCTAACAAAAATGTCCAAGATCTGTGTGAAATTTCACTCAGAACCCCAACAAGGATTTTTGTGCAACATCAAAAACTGATTCTAAAATGTGCGTGGAATAGCAAAATATCTATAGCCTTTACATGCCTGAAAAAAAAGAAGCATAAGGCCAAGGGACTTGTCCTACCAAATATAAAGACTTATTATAAAACTGCACCCCATTATTGTTTTCAGAAGTAGCACTACAGATCACTGGGGAAAGGAGAAATTATTTAATAAATGGTTATACTTAAGGAGGAAAAAAGTAATTCTGTATAGATTAGAGATAATAAACTTTAAAAATCATTCCTGCAAGAAAATAAAAAATCAAGATTTCACCAAATTTGAAACATACCTGCATATGGAGCCATTCCTAATATAGTAGGCATCAGGCCTCTGTAAAATCCAAGGAAACCACCTTCCTTTTGAGTGAAGAAAAATTAGAAGTGAAATTACATTGGGCTCATTATGATAAATATCAAAGAACAAAAACATATTTTATAACAAAAGAACTATTCTGAGACACACTCTGAAACACAGATGTGTTTTCATAATAATTATTATTAATGTCAATAATTATAAATAAAAGAATATTTAGATACATCAAATTTTAGATATTATTTAGATACATCAAAATATTTGCCTAAATATAAAAGGACATGTTATAAACAAGAAAATTAAATATGAAATACCTTTGCATAAATTGTTGTGAATGCATGAATAATTCCTTTATAAGTGTGTTCCCCTTTCACCTGGAATGCTAGGCGTACTCTAACCATGTCAAGAGGGTAAGTACAGATAACTGCTGTCATACCTGAAAAGAAAGCAGAAACTTAAATGTACAAGAATTATATCTATATCTATATCTATATCTTTCCTATAATTCAAAAATTTGTAAAGGTAAAGGAGGCATTAGTTTAAGAGCTGCAAGACCATGAGTCAGGCTGAGGAAGTGGCATAACCTAATTGTACATCAGAGAATGGTAAAAATAATGCCAATGATTAATGCTAAACTCACATTATGCTAAATCTATGATCTACTTTTACAGTTTTTCAGCTAATTTATTTCATCATGTTTTTATATAGTGTATTTCTTTAAAATCTGAACAATCAATCAAAACTTCCAAAAGAAAAATAAAACTTCAACAAAGATGTTTAAAAATTATGAAGGATTTTTTTTTGGTTGCTGTTCAATATTCCTAAAAGCACATATAGCAAGAAGATTTCTAATAATTTTGTACTCAGATAAATCTTGACAACTACTTAATGATTTTAAATGTTTGCTTATCTTTGGAGTAGATGGGAGGTGAGAAACATTCTTCTGACAATCATATTTTACCCTTCACTCTAAGTATTAAATTATGAAGCCTACAGGGTTAGGATTTACAGCTTTAGAAGCCCTAAACACAAAAAAGATTATGACATCTTACATTGTTCAAACTAAAAGCAATGCTGCACTGTAAAGGAAGTTTGAGGATATCCAACTAAATTCTGATTCTCCTCATGATGACTATCAATGCTTTTTAAAAATACCATATGTCCCTGCTTTGCTGAGGACCTAAGCATATACATAGTCTACCTGTCAAGTCATCTAGCACTAGTTTTATATAAACTAGTTTGTATCTTCAAATCCTGAGCTCCCAATTTATCCCTCCTCCCCCAACCCCTTTCCCCTCTGGTAATCATAAGTTTGTCTTCTATGTCTGTGAGTCTGTTTCTTAAACTACTTTTTTTGACTTATGGCCAAAATTGGTCAAATGGTCAAAAGAGAGAAACAGTATAGGCTTGAGAGTCAACCTGCTTGAGCTCAAATCAGAATCTACAGCTAACCTGCTATGTAACCTTGAGCAAGCTCCTTAACCTGGGTTTCATTTTCATTATCTATAAGATAGATGTCATGACAGTAGTTATTCAATTTAGAGTTTTATGAAGATTAAGTGAGTTAATATATGTAAATGCTTAGAATAATCCCTGACACGTAGTAAATAATACATCCAAATATCAGCTATTATTATTCTCCCAGTCTTTTCCTTTTCAAGCTATTTATTTTTTGACACTTTCCTTTGAAAATCAAATCACTTGTTTTCTCTTTTTCATCAAAATTCCTCCATTTCCAATTTCTCTTTTCCTGCACATTAATGCTCAAGAATTCAAGAAGAGAAGCATAACCAGAGGATTATTGGGGGGAAATATGTATAAAAGTGGCTGCACCAATGTACATTCCCAACAGTGCTTGAGGGTTCCCTTTACTCCACACCCTCTCCAGCATTTATCATTTGTAGACTTTTTGATGATGGCCATTCTGACCAGTACGAGGTGATAACTCATTGTAGTTTTGATTTGCATTTCTCTAACAGTTAGTGATGTTGAGCATCTTTTCTTGTGTTTGTTGGCCATTTCTCTGTCTTCTTTGGAGAGATGTCTGTTTAGGTCTTCTGCCCATTTTTTGATTGGGTTGCTTTTTTTTTTATTATTAACGTGTATGAGATCTTTGTATATTTTGAATTTTAACTCCTTGTCCATCTTATCATTTGAAAATATTTTCTCCCATTTGTGGATGCCATTTTATACAGTAGTCCCACATGGTAAACAAGAGGTCTCAGAAAATGGCAATGAACAACTCACATAAAAAAACCCCACATCATTATAAAAAACATTAGTGGAAAACATGAATAAATGTTTTCATCTTAGAATGAGGAAGGCATTTCTAAACACAACAAAAAATTTTGAAGCTACAAAGGAAAACCCTAATCCATTTGGCTATGTAAAATTTCTATATAGGGGAGAACTTTTGGATGACTTTTCTAAAAAATCACAAATAAGGTTAAAAGACAAATCTAAAACTGAGAAATAAAATATTAACAATATTTGATAGAAAAAAATAATGTCCTAATTCACAAATTCATAAAAATGAATATTTAAAAAACAGAAAGAATTCAAGGCTGAAAGTAAGAGAAATACAAGTGATCAATAAACATTTGAAAAGCTGATCAACCTTACTCATAATTAATTGCCAAATGATAAAAATTTGATAAGACCCAGTGCTGATAACAGTATGTACAGAAAACCACTATTGAAAGCATTATAGAGATCAGTTTGGAAAGGTCTATCAAAAATTAAATATACATATTTTTTGATAGGTGAAGTAATTTCCCTTCTCAAAATTTATTCTACAGATATAGTCACGCAAGTACAATGTATTATTTGTAAAACAAAAATTGAAAATATCCCAAATGTCAATCAATAGGAGACTGAGTAAATAAATAATGGTACATTCTCACCTCAGGATATAAAAATCTTTACAAAAATAGAAAGATCTATGTACTGATATAGAAAAGAGTCTTGAGACAACTGTAAAGGAAAAGTTCTAATCCTATAAAATAGTGTTAGAAAAAAGCATACATAAGAAACTGCTAATAGTGATTGCTTCTAGTAGTAGAACTATTTTCATTGTACAGGAATATGTATTACTACAGCCATTACAATTTTTTTTTAAGTTTTGAAAGAAAAACATAAACATTTCCAGAAGTAGAATTGTCAATGGGAATGTATGTTTTTCACATGATTGTAAGTTTAGACTATTCCTTACAATCTCCTACTATAAAACACTTTGAGTTGGACTATTAATAATTTCTTGCATAATTGAGCATAGGAAGTTAACAAATGTGTGCTACTTAATCAATGTCACACATGTTATCTAACTCAAATTAAGTATTTTAATAGAAAATTAATTTGCAGAAATAAAATATACCCATTCCTCTTACCTGCCATGGATCCAGCCATCAATCTGTGCACGTGACCAGAAATTCCCAGCTTTGTGGTAATTAACTAGAAACCAAAACATCAAATTAAATGAGTTTTTTTTTAATGTAGCATCCTTTTTTTCCTTTAATTGAAGTATAGTCAGTTTACAATGTGTCAATTTTCTGGTATAGAGCACAGTGCTTCAGTCATATAGGAACATACATACACTGGTTTTAAATGAAATATTTTTTAAATGTTGCCCATTTCACTGTTTAAAAATGAAAACTTATCTCAAAAGAGTTACAAAACTAGTAAAAAAGAAAACTAGTATTGAATGTGAGTGAAATGAGTACAAATATATAAAGCTGGGCAGTGTTATATCACATAATAATGAGGTCAGGTATTTCCTCTGTAGCACCTGCTCTACTTACACACTTAAACAGAAGCGATCTTGCCAAATATACTCCACTACACACTGATGACCACAAATATTTAAAATGTGAAGGGGAATAGTAGAATAAAATGCTACTGTAGACAATGAAGTCTTGATATACTGATGGTAGTTCTGACTAGCTTAGAACGTTCTCAATCTCTATGGCTTAATTTTCATTTTAAGATACCTTATGAAATGTAATGGATTTAACCCCTTTCTATGTTAAAATATTCAAGAGGATAAACTTTGAGTCAGCCAGGGAAGAGAAACTTAATGAGTATGATGGGAAAAGCTGTTAACTTATAGCATTACTTAAAAACAGACTTTCACAATATGTTTCACTATTTTATTTAATTAGAAAATCCAAAGCCACAATGGTCCTCTCCTACAGTTGAGAAACAAAAAGCACATCAAAAGCTATTAATATTTTATGGATTTATTAATATCTAGTTGAAGAATACTATGGCTCTTCTTCGTAAGTGTGAACATGAACAATTTACTCAAAAATGACTAAAAATTTTGGAATAGATAACCCCAAAACCTAGTTGTATTTAAAATTTTAAACTATTACAAGTCTTATTTCTTCAAAAAGGCACTACTTTCTCCATTTGTCCAAAGTAACTTCAAAGGTCAAAGCAAATGCTTTGTCAATTAAGTATGATATTCAAGGACACAAAAGAGGAAAACAAGATAAAAGTTTAAGTACCGTTTTATAATGCTCAAATGCCATAAACTGGATTGCACCATAGGGAAAGATTCGAATCATCATTGCACCATTCCCTTTATACAATCCAAGGTATCCCTCCTTTTGGGGAACAGCACGCAATGCAGAAAATACTCCTATTTTTAGAAAGATTTTTAGAAGAAAAATACTATTAAAACAGAGAAAACTACCTAAATTCAAATTTTCATGACAATCACAGATAAAGATTACTATACTATTATTCATATTTTTGCTTGAGGAATTATATGAATAGTAATTTCTATATAAGAGTTAAATCTACTTAAAATAAATCATATGCCCAAATTATGTAAACATTCCTCATGTAAAAATAGAAAACACATTATAGCAAGAACAGCTGCAAACTATAATAAATTATATTTATAATTACTATAAATTATATTAATTTATAGCAAAGTAAAAATATTAATAGAAATATATTCAAAGCCCAGATATTGTACTGCAGATGACTGACTCTCTGCAAGGAGGAAGGAAGGTTTCCCAGTCTGACCCAGTTACATGCATGGTTTGTTTATGTAGGAAACTACTAAATAAAAGAAAAAATAAAAAACCTACTAATTAAAAAGCTATTTAAATTGGGGAGCAAATTTTCATTAATAGTATACTTTAATTAGAAATACAGATAAAGGCTTAAGTTCTCATCTGATATAATGATATGTTTATTATTCTGAAAATGTCAATTACTAATCCTATTTGCTGTACAGACTTCTACATTCCATTATTAAACTATTTAAATTCAGGTTTCTTTCCAAATTTTTCCAACAAAAATTTGATCAAATATGAAAGTAAATCACTGAGCTCATTTCACAGTTCAGAATTCAAATAACCTTTTGATCCCTCCCCAGAAATTAAAACTGTAGGTACTTATTAACATCCAAGAAAAGACATATCCTAAAAGTATTTTAATAAGCACATTTCTAAATGGACTAATAAGCTATTAAAAAGAATTCTATTTCATATATATATATGTGTATATATATATAAAACAGCTATATGTATAATATATAAAGTTCTTGCAAAATACATGAATAATATAACTATATTCACCCCCTTCTCCTCCAAAGAAAACGCTATCAAAGACATCCTTCTGCTGGAAGAGAAGACTAAAGTTAAGCACAGTTTAATTTTATTCAAATGTATTTATAACAATTTAAGGGTAATCAACTTTAGAACAATGGCCACCTAGCAGGGACAGGAAGGCTGATGATGAGGGAGAAATACAGAGGAGGTTTCAATTGTACTGATGTTTATTTCTGAAACTGTGTGGCTCCACATATGCTTATTATATTATTCTGTAAAACTCTTTATTATAAATATTTTAAGAGAAATCATTTATAGAAGTGAAATAGATAAAGCACTTTCAAAAAGAAAATCCAGGAAACAAAATGCAAGGGAGGGTGGCTGGGGAAGATACAAGAAAAGCACAATGAAGATATAAATCAATGGTTGGAAAAAAAAATCTAAATGCCATAAATTCCTCTATTAAAAGCCAAATACTCTCAAATTCTATTAAAAGGCCATATCTAACCCTATGCTTGTTACAAAAAAAAAACTCACCTAAAACAAAATAACTGAGAAAGACAAACAGAGGAAGAATGGATGTTGAATCTTTTCAAATGGTATTTAAATATCCACTTAGAAAATTACATTGTTTTTCTCCTTCAACCTATGTCTGTACTATTTTTACTTTGATTGATTGATTTTTAAAATGGAGGTACTGGGGATTTTACCCAGGACTTCGTTAATGCTAACCACACACTCTACCACTAAGCTATACCCTCGCCCCAATTTTTACCTTGGAAAATGGAGATTTTCTTTATGGCATAACACTGAACCAATTTTTGCATATGTTATAAGCATGTTTGGGAAGAACAGGTATTCTCTGTAGAGTGCAAAGTCCTCTGTGTCTCTTTATATCAAGTTATATTGAGCATGTCTGTTATTTAGATCCTTCTCTGTATCTTTACTTATTTTATCAAGCTAAGAGTATAAGGAACTAACATTTGGTCAAATATAAGCATATGCTTGTGTAGTATACATTAGCCTGAAGGCAAATGGAAGCAAATTGTAAAAATGCTTAATTTCTAAGGAGGAAATGGGAGGGAAAATGTGCTTGCTTTTGCTCTTACTGAATTATGAACTTGTGAAAATATTATACATTCAAAAAATAAAAATAAATAAAATGAAAAGGTACCTAAATTAAAAGTAAGGATTTTTAAAGAATCCTTTTATGATTCATCTACCTATTTTTATAATCACACTGACTGTAAATGGAGGTCAAAGGTTTTCAATATATTACAGGAAAAAATTCTTTACACTCATTGCAAACTAGGGAAGAAATTCTAATTATACTCCTTCCTTTTCAGTTGGCCACAGTAATTTTGATTCAAAATAAAAAGCAGTTTTTGCCTTAGAAATAACATCATACACTTTTAAAAAGAAGTTAAAGTAGAAGTTTTATTCAATAGCATATCTTCATCATCTTTGACTGTGAAAAATCATGTTTTTAAGTTTAAGCAAAATTTTAAAACTATCTTATGCATGTAAAAAGGAAGGTATCTAGAATAAAATGCCCAACAACATTTTTAAAATAAAATTAAAAGCCACTAACACCTTAAAAACTTTTTTTGGTTTATATATTCTAAACACACATGAAACTCCATACACTACACCAATAGTTCATTGTTGCACTCCAGGAATTCTATTTCACATTTTGCATGCCTTGTAAGGTACACTGCAACCCATGCGTGCAACCCTGTAGAGCATGAAATCTTATGTGAATATGTAATCTAATGATTACAAATCAGGAAACAAAACAACATACATCAGCATGGAGAGAAGTTTAAAGGAATAAAACAATCCTGCTCAGACATTCATATGTGGGATCATTGTCAAACACCCCGAGATACTGGGTAATAGAATTCATCTCCTTTTCACCCTCAATTTAAACAACAAAAGAAAATTATTTCCTTCCTTTCCAGTTTTATATAATCTCTCAATAAATTCAAAGGTCTGATTCTTTCTATACATAAGCAGTACACTGTGAAGATACAGAATTCACTTCTGGACACAGAGATAGTAGCAATTTCTTTCTTTGAATTTAAAGTACACTTTATGTCACAGAGAACAGTGTCATGTGAAAAACATGAGTTGTTACAAAACTGTGATGTCAAGGACTATGAATCAGAAACTGATTCATTATAGTAGTAACATGAATGTGAAGAAGTTTTTATAGATAAGGTATATGTTTTGCTTATCTTTTTTTTGTTTTTTTTTTTTTTGGCTTTTTTTGTGGGAGGGGGAGGTAATTAGGACCCTTCCCCCTTGCTTATCTCCTTTTTATGTATGGTATATGTAAGTGTGGTATACTGTTTAAGTGTGGTTTACTTTTTAAAATGTTTAAGAAAACTCTTTAAAAAAAGGATTAAATAAAAGTTCTAAGTGAAAAGAAAAAATTTTTAAGTATAGACTTACTTAGTGTTAAAAATATTGACAAAAAATGAGCCACAACAAATATAACAAATATACAACCCATTTTTTTAGAAAAATCACATTTAAAAAACCCAATTGTTAAAATGATTGATTCTTATTCACTCTGTTAAACATCTTTCTTATAAACTGATGCTGCATAAATCATGCAGAGCATACATCATTCCCATCTCTTGAAGCATGAAACTATAAAGCAATGGAGTAATATGAATTAGTTGCCTTGACCTAATTTCTTTCTTTGTCTCTGTCTGCATTAATATTTTTCTTTTATATAGTTTTCCCTCTAATTGAAAAATTAATATATGTTCAACACATATTATAAATTAGCTTAGGGAAAAAAATTACCTATAATCTCACCATTGAATTTAACCACTTAATGTTCATTATTTGTCCGTTTAGCCTTATGTCTAAGCACGTTTATTTAGACAAAATGCAATATGATTAAGCCATTTTGTAATATTTTTCCATTTAATTAATCACATTATAAACTTTCTTCCTAGCCAATTAATATTCTTTTACAATATTTTATGATTGTAAAATAGTCTATGGGCTTATTTTTTTATTTAAATATTTAATTTAACTTAGTCAATTCCCTATTATTGAACATTTTCATGGGCTTTTTTTTAACCAACATAAATAATGTTCTGATTCTTGTATATACATCTGTGAGCACATTTCTGATTACTTCCTTAAAACAAATAGAATTGTAAGGCCAAAGAGCATGTATCTTTTCAAGACTTTTGATGCATATTACCAAAATGCCCTCCAAAAAAGCTATAAAAAATTCCTACTCCCACTAATGACGTATTATTAGAGTGTCCACATTAATTATAACAGCTGATTTTTACGTTAGTAAGGAACAACTAAGGGCTCAATTTTTTTTAACAGTGTTAAGTTTATCCATATATACTAATTTCATTGTATTCTGCTTCCTCTATGATATCTAGATGGCATGTTTAAGTGTTTAAAAGGAGCAAACCTTATCTCCACCACTAACTGGATTTTCTTTTAAAAAATCAAGCTGAGTTGTTATGTGTGTCTGTAAAGGATGTGATTTGTTAATTTCAATAAAAAATATGTAGTACTTATTTCAATAATTCAAAGATTTTGGTTTAGAGGATATTAGTATCCTAAAATGATAAATATAACCACTACTGCAAATGAAAAGATTAAAATGGATAAGAGATACATCCCTTACAAAATTTGCCCCCAAACTTGAACTCCATTTTGTGTCCTCTTTCCACTATAATTCACAACTGGAAACAAAGCCAACAGATGGATAATATTTTCAATTTTTGTCTTTAGCATCCATGAACTCACCCAAATGTTTGTAATGGTGATTGTGAGCTTGTAATAAAACCTTTACTCGATCCAAAGGAGCAACTGTTGTTTTGGCACAGCATCCAGCAATACCTAAAAAATTTGAAAAGATCAAAAATCAAAATATTAATATCTATTTTAAAGGCACATATCTCTTTAATTGATGAAAGTTAAATATGTGTTAAAATTAAAATCTTTACTAGATATATTTTCAAAATTTAAATGAAATTTGTATCCCTAATTTTCTTAGTTAATAAAAGTATTCAGTATTCTGTAAATGCTCTCTTTTGATCAAAGCCATTAGTAATCACAATGAAAATAATTTTATTTCATTGTATCAATAAAAGTACTAAAGCAGAATAGAAGGAATATGAAATATAAAGATGACAATGTGGTTTTTTTTTTTAAGATTCAGAAATAAATTACATCTAGAGGATTTTGCTAATCCTTTGGTTTAACTAATAGCCTATTTAGACAACTCAGTTATGTCAAACTTTCAAAAGATCCAAAAATATGCTTTCAAAACCTGTCTGGAATCCATCAAATACAATTAATTTGTGGTATATCCATAATGTGTAATTACACTTTCCACATAAAAAAAAAAAATTTGAAAAGATCAAGAAGAAATTGCAGGTCAGCCCTACTAGCTCAGCTTGCTTTTGAGGTGGTAATACATAAAAGACTTTTTCCTACAGACTGATTGTGTTCCCCCAAAATTCATATGGTGAAAACTAATTCCTAGTGATGGTATTTAAAAGTAGAACCTTTAGGAGGTGATTAGGATCCTCACGAATGAAATTACTGCTCTTATAAAAGAGGCCCGAGAGAGATTTCTGGGCTCTTCCCCATGTGAAAACAGTGAAAAGGTGCCAGCTATGAGGAAGCAAATCCTCCCCAGATACCGCATCTGCTGATACCATGATCTTGGACTTCCCGACTTAGATCCACAAGAAAGATGTTTGTTGTTTATAAGCCACCAACATTATAGTATTTTTTTAAAGCAGCCTGAAAGAACTAAGACACTTTTTTGAAGAACCTTGCATGTAGCAAGCACTCAAATCAAAAGAGTTCTTATTATTATAAAAAGGCGGATAAAAAAGTCCTTGTCCTTTTTATGATTATGTTAAGCTCTTCATCACTGCATATTTGTTCCAGAAGGCACAAGAGGACTGGGATTTTGTGGGTCTTTTCACTACTGCACCCCCAGAAACCAGTTCAGGGCCTGTCCCTTAACAGGTATTCAATAAATATTTGAATTATTGAATGAATGTAGAGTCTTACTTTACAAACTTTTAAAAATGTAAGATAAAATCACTCAAAATCCACACACATTTACTTAACAGCTCAGCATGTAAATGATGCTAAAATTCATATTCTGAGATACTCAAAAATAAAATGCCTATTTGTACTCAAATATTAAATTCATGTATAAGTTTCTATATCAAGCTTCTGTTATCTGAACTAATGGAAATAGCAATCATGGTCACTCAAAATTGAGAATAAACTAAAAATAATTTGCAGTCAGATATATGAGGTTTCAGAATAGTTTGTCACATTACTATCTTTCTAGTTATGAATTAACCATGTAAATATTTAGAATATGTTGAATAAGTAGTTTCCTTGAATAGTATCTTGACTGGCTTATCACATTACTTTACAGTTCAGTTAATCATCACAAAAGTCCATTGAGTTACATCAAGCAGCTTTTATCTTCATTGTGAGCAAGTGAACTTAATGTATTTGCCAAAGGACACTGCTAATCAACAATAATAGTTAACAAGTTTCTTTGAACCAGGCATTAGGCTAAGATATTTAACTGCAGACACTGTGACAAGGCTTTAAAGGTACTTTCTCATTTAATCAATACAACCTTCTGAGATAAGTACTCTTATTTTCCCATTTAAAGGATGGGGAAACTGAGGAATAGGAGGGTAAGTAACATGCCCAACGGTATTTTCTCATATCACTTGTACCAGGAACACCTATAATGGCTACAAAAATCTGTATGCAACTTTTCATAGCCATTTTATTCAAATAACCAAAAACTAGAAGACAATGTGGTAAATCCATACAATGGAATACTAATAACAAAAAGGAGCATATTACTGATGCATGCAACATGGGTAAAACTTAAATGCATTTTGCTAAGTGAAGGAAGCCAGACTCAGAAGACTATACACTATGTGATTACATTTATATAACGTTCTGGAAAAGGCAAGACTATAGGGACAGAAAATAGATCAGCGGCTGCCAGAGGTTGGAGATGAGAGTACAGGCGTAAGTACAAAGGGAAGTGGAAATAACTGGGGGAGATGGAACTATTCTATGTCTCAGCTAAGTTGGTCATTACAAAACATGTTTGTCAAAATTCATTCCACTGGGGGAAGGGTATACCTCAGTGCTAGAGCACTGTGCTTAGCATGCACAAGGTCTTGGGTTCAATTCCCAGTACCTCCATTAAGAAATAAATAAATAAGTAGACTAATTATCTCCCCCTCAAGAAAATTCAACTGTACACGCAAAAAAGGGTGAACTTTACTGCATATAAATTATACCTTAATAAACCTGATGTTAAAACAAAAAACTATATAAAAAAGAAAAAATTGTGCAAGGTTCTAAAAAGTACACAGCTTAATCAAGATTCCATTGTAGAGTTTCCTATACTTGCTGTCTCCAATCCCCTTCCTCCTCTTAAAAGATTTTTATGTATCAAAGTGTAAGAAACATAAAGAAAGTGCACAAATTGTAAGTATGCCACTTACCGAACTACAGCAAGATGAATACACCCACGTAAGGACTACCCAAATCAAGAAATAATATTATCAGCCTCCCAGAAGTCCTTCTCTTCTATTCCCCAAATCACTATTTGCTCCTCCTTCTCAGAGACAACCAATCAGCTTTGTGAGTTTTAACAACAGGGATTTAGTTTTGGCTGGTTTTGAACTTTATACAAATAAAATCACATAGTATGCACTGCTTTGTGTCTGGCTGCTTCTGTTCAATATTACGCTTATTAGATTCAAACACACTGTTGTACGTGGCAGGAATTTAGTCATTTTCAGTGCTACATAGTATTTCACTGTATAATTATATCATATTTTGGTTATATAATCTAACATTGATGGACATTGGGTTGCTTCTCCTTTGGGAATATTATGAATATGACAGATAACAGCATAGATACATACATGTTGGGTATATACCTAGGAGTGGATGGAACTGGTGGCTCATATGGCATATAAATGTTCAGCTTCACAGATTAACTACCCAGCCAGTTCTCTAAAGTGGTTGTACCTGTCTGCATTACCATCAGCAGCATATGAGAGTCCTGGTTGCTATTCTTGCCTACATGTCACCAAGACTCTACTTCCACGTCTAGTCAACATCACAAAATGTAACATGGCCAAAACTAAACTCCTGATCTCTCCCCACAACCATCAGGAAAGTTCTTCCAACTATAGCCTTCCCATTTCACTCAATGACAAGTTCATCCTTTCAGCTGCTCAGGCAAAAATAAGTCACCCTCGACTTCTCTTCCTTACCCCATCTCTAATCTGTCAGAAAATCGTTTATTCTATCTATATTCAGGTTATGTTCTCACATGTTTTCACCATCTCCCTGGCTACTAACCTGATCCAAGCCACCACCACCTATCATCTGAATTACAGCAATTACCTTCAAATTTGTCTCCCTGCTTCCAGATTTACATCCCTACAGTCATTCTCAATAGAGCAGCCAAAGTGATCCTTGGGAACATTATCACTTCTCTACTAAAGACCTGAAATGGCTCCCTACTTCACTCCAAGTAAAAGTCAGAATCTTTACAATGGTTTCCAAGGCCCTTCATTTCCTCTCCCTTTTAGCTTTCTACCCTCCTTCCCCCATCACCACCACCTGGCTATAGACACACAGGTCTCGCTGCTGTTCTTTGAACCGACATGACCCTCTCTGAATTAGCTTTTCTTTAGCTTTTCTCTCCACCTGGACTGCTCCTCATTACACATCAACTTACTAAACTTCCTCACTTTTTCGAGTTTGCTCAAGTTATGCTCCCAATGATACCTAGCACAAACTATCCTACTTAATATTATATGCACTTAACCTCTCCATTTCTTAGCCTCATTCTCCTTTTTACTTCTTCCCACTGCATTCCTCACTTTCTAATATACCAAATAACTTATTTTTTCATTTTGTTTATTGTCTTTCTCACAACCACTCCCCAACCAATGTAAACTCCAGGATCTTTGTTTTGTTCCCTGATGTCCACTGAGCATGTAGCAGACACAGAGCAGGCACTCAAATATTCCTTGTATAAATGAACAAAAGTCCTTTTTATCAGTAGAACAAAATAATTTTTAATACTACTGCAGCATACAGATATCTTTCTACAAGTCCTCATAATGCAGCATTTTAAAAACTCCTAGCCTTAATAAATAATTAAGTGATGACAATTCAATCAATTAACAGGGTGAGACTGAAACATCTCTCTATGGGAAAGCAGAAGAAATTTTGAGAAACAGTATGAACCACACCAACAGGAGGGCTGCACTAGCTGTCTGTCAAGTAGCTGTGGCAGTTTGCTGGAATCACCGGAACCAGTTTTGGTCGTAGATAGTTTCACACAATTTCCCAGTCATCTTTAAAAAGCTGACCTCCAATATTTGTTTTCTTTTAAGCAAAATGCAAAATCCAGTTCTACACTACACTACAAAAGAAAGGAATGCCCATCATGTTTCAATGAAACCCTAGGGTCTTTCAAGGGACTCCATTTTTTCCCCTGCTATCCAACCCTGAAGAATGGGTGCCTAGTTTAACGCTTCCAAGTCCCCAGCCGCTCCCCTCAAGGCCCTTCCTTCCCAGGATCCTGCTGTCTTTAGTCAAGCGATTATTAGAAAGAGATTACAGCAGTTCCCGGCAAACACCTGGCAGGGCACTGAAGCAGCCAGAGTCAAGAGCCAAGAATGTCATCACGACTGCACGCAACCGCCCTGCCCCGGATCCGCCCCTGCCACTCCGTGCGCGGCCAGGTCCTCCCGGCGGACACCCACCTC